ACAACCATGTGTACAACAACCGGAAGAGTGACAACCATGTGTACAACAACCGGAAGAGTGACAATCATGTGTACAACAACCAGAAGAATGACAACCATGTATACAACAACCAGAAGAGAGACAACCATGTGTGCAACAACTAGAAGAGTGACAACCATGTGTACAACAACCAGAAGAGTGAAAACCATGTGTATAACAACCAGAAGAGTGACAACCATGTGTACAACAACCAGAAGAGTGACAACCATGTGTACAACAACCAGAAGAGTGACAACCATGTGTACAATAACCAGAAGAGTGACAACCATGTGTGCAACAACCAGAAGAGTGACAACCATGTGTGCAACAACCAGAAGAGTGACAACTATGTGTGCAACAACCAGAGGAGTGACAACTATGTGTACAACAACCAGAAGAGTGACAACCATGTGTATAACAACCAGAAGAGTGACAACCATGTGTGCAACAACTAGAAGAGTGACAACCATGTGTACAACAACCAGAAGAGTGACAACCATGTGTACAACAACCAGAAGAGTGACAACCATGTGTACAACAACCAGAAGAGTGACATCCATGTGTACAACAACCAGAAGAGTGACAATCATGTGTACAACAACCAGAAGAGTGACATCCATGTGTACAACAACCAGAAGAGTGACATCCATGTGTACAACAACCAGAAGAGTGACAACTATACGTAAAACAACCAGAAGAATGACAATCATGTGTACAACAACCAGAAGAGTGACAACATGTGTATAACAACCAGAAGAGTGACAACCATGTCTGCAACAACCAGAAGAGTGACAACCATGTGTACAACAACCAGAAGTGTGACAACCATGTGTACAACAACCAGAAGAATGACAACCATGTGTGCAACAACCAGAAGAGTGACAACCATGTGTACAACAACCAGAAGAATGACAATCATGTACGTGATAACCTGAAGAAAAGTATGCATGTGTGTGATACCACCGAGAATGCATGTCCGTCATAACACAACTGAAGTTAAGTTTGCCATTTCGAAAATAATGAATTAAAGTTAAATAATGTGTCATTTTTAGGTTATTTTTTTCTTTCTCGTATTGGTAATAATTATCATTAAATAAGATACGTCAACAAAACAATCTAGCATTATTGTTGAAAAAATGAGAATCCATATAAAATTATACGGAAACGTTGTTTTCATTGTTTATTTATTTTCATTTACTTTAATTATGAAATATCATTGATTATTTTATTGATACCCTAATGGCATCCATACTTTATTAGAAATTTACTTAATTGGTGATTACAATTTCACCATTATAAGCTTTTGTTAGCGTGTATGATATGTAAATTATCGGGCCAATCAAAGAATATTTAATGTTAATGTCATCTTCAGAACGTGCTTTAGAAGAAAATTCGATTGGAATTTTATTGATACTGAAATTCGCGAACTGTGAGGAAACGTTCTTTCTAAGTCATCAAAGTCAAAGAAAATGTCATTGTTTTGTTCTCTATCTATCTATTCAACTTGCTTTGATCTTGTTTTAAACAAAGAAGAAAACATTCTTTAAGGAAATTAGGTGCAAAAGGAAGATCTTTAGAAGTCTCTGTTAAAATCAGTCCCTCATTACTAAAGGGCATTAGCTATGATTTCGCCAAACAATTAAATTGTGATTTTAAACATAAATTAATGTGGAATATTGCAATATTCCCCTTTTGCAGCCAGTTTTGTTTAGTTTTGTAAAGACAAGCTCAAAATATCACTAACTTATTAATGACTTGCAGGACAATAATTCGACCTCATTTTGGTACAGATGCATGCAACCTTTAATTTGACCCTAAGTTGTAGATGGGTTGAGTGTGTGCTTAACATGTCCAGTTCTTAAAATTTAAAGAACGTCAAAATTGAAAAGTGAAACAAGGGAGTCATCAGGAAGTACTATTTCTATGACTGATTCGGCCCACAATAAATTATTCTTATACAGGGTCACAAAATCGCATTAGACTAAAGCACGTGCTTGTCTGTCAATACATATTCCTATTCATGTTTGTATCGGGTCAAATGACCATCGACAGTTTTCTGGGGTCTTCTCGGAAGTCAATTAAATGGTCTCTATTACTCAATTCGCACAAAACGCTGATATATAAGTACGATTCCCTGCATTGTTTATTGTTCCCATTTAATATTTTGTTACTCTAGTAAATATTCAGTAGTCATAGATCAATTAAAGAGTTTGCGGATGTAATTCGGTGGCAATGAATTTGGCAGCTAATTTCAATTTAATTAATCGATAGCCGCTCTAGTCTCGGACCGATTTAGAGCTTGTCATATTATAGACACCTATCGTATATTGACCTCTAGATTTCGTTTATGTTTTTGTGTCGTTGGTTTGCTGTTTCATTGACATATAACATATGTTCCTTGAATTCATTCAAACTTTGGGAAATAAGATCAGGCTGCAAGTCAAGTTAAACCTAGCCTGGTCTGTATTGCTCGTTCTGCCAAGTGGTCATCTCCTATGAGGTAAATAAATGAAAATTCACAAAGAGAAAATTTAATGTCATGTGCAATCCTTGGAATTTTAGTAAGATTTTTACCCTTATCTGGCCTTCTCAGTGTGTAGATGTAGACCCCTCATCTGACCTTTTCATTGTGTAAATGTAGACCCCTCATCTGACCTTTTCATCGTGTAAATGTAGACCAGATTAAAAGCAAACTTGACGGAATACAATATCCTTATATTACGGAAATAATTGTCTCATTTTACATAATGTCTTGTCTTTAATTATTTTCTTAAATTATTCTGCATGTGTCTCTCTTTTATCAAGATTCAATTTAAGATAAAGCTTTTTATGGTATTGGATTTCTAAACAAAAAAAAGATAAAAGTTATTATGAAAATACATGATAAGTCAGCACTGTTGTGAGCTATGAATATTTCATAAATATTGAACTTTTAATGTAAGTAATACAATATTCTCCAATTAAATATCGGCATATTTCATAATCGAAACCTTGTACTATTGAATAATTGATGAATAACTAAGTGTTCTAAAAATAATTTGTTATGATAATTACCTAATATGGCAACATGAACTTGTAGTGTTGATTGTTGGTTGTTAAACGTCAAGTAGGTAAATTTTCAACTATAATTATGAATTTGAAGATATCATCTTAAAGTTTTGAATATACAATACAAAAATAAGAAGCAATAGTATGATTACCAATGAGACAAATTTCCACCAGAGAACAAAGGACGAGGATGAAAACGACTATAGTTCACCGTACTGTGCCAACGCTTTGTTTGCTGTTCTTCATCTCAAAGCTTAACTGAGACCTTTAACACGAAACAATAGCTTAAACCTTACTGCAACTTTCAAACGGCCCCTCACTCCGATTTGAGCGGAATTTTAGATAATTATTCGCATAGCTCGCAATAAAACAATCACTATGTCTGACTCCGAGTCGACAGGTCTTTGCTCATACACCTAAATACCAGCTGGAAAAAGGAAAATGACAGGTTCCAACCACGGAAGTATTCAAAATTCGCACAAACGAAACTAATTACAAAAAAACGAGAAATTCCAAACATGTAAAGCTGGTCATAATTGGCCATAATATTAGTTCAACCTCAAAGTCCTCATTGAGCTGGGATAGTGTTAATTTCAGTAATAAATCAAAGGACTATTTTAAAATGACCCTAGTGTGAAATGAATTCCTTTTTATTTTCCTAGTCTTTCTTACGAAGAATGTGAAAACAGTTAAAATGAGATATATTGTATGATGAGAGCGTGAAACAAAAAAATATTTGAAAAATAACCGGTTTAAACAATAAAATCTATGATTCTTGTATTAGGTATAACATTAATAAAAGTACAATTGTTGTCCGTGAGATAAACTACAGTCCAAACTGTTACTTTTTACATTATATATTCTGTCAATTAATTATATTCTGTCAATTAATTATTAAGGGCCAGTTGTTAACACCATTATTATTTATGTGTTAAATGTACAATAATGAATAATCCATACATTACTACATACTAGGGGACACTGAATGGAATAGTTTGGCGTCTGTCAATATGGAAATATGGAAATTCACGGAAAATTACTGGTTATATAGTTTATAAATATATATGTCAAATGAAGGGTAACAATTGCAACACAATAAATTCAAAAGACTTAGTATGTTATCTAAATCAATAGAAATCAGACGTTTATTTCTTTTTGTATCATCTATATGTATATCACTTTTTACTAAATTGTTATTTTTCTTTGTAACACGGAGTATGGACTTTGTATCATCTATATGTATATCACTTTTTACTAAATTGTTGTTTTTCTTTGTAACACGGAGTATGGACGTTGTATCATCTATATGTATATCACTTTTTACTAAATTGTTGTTTTTCTTTGTAACACGGAGTATGGACGTTGTATCATCTATATGTATATGACTTTTTACTAAATTGTTGTTTTTCCTTGTAACACGGAGTATGGACTTTGTATCATCTATATGTATATGACTTTTTACTAAATTGTTGTTTTTCTTTGTAACACGGAGTATGGACGTTGTATCATCTATATGTATATGACTTTTTACTAAATTGTTGTTTTTCTTTGTAACACGGAGTATGGACGTTGTATCATCTATATGTATATCACTTTTTACTAAATTGTTGTTTTTCCTTGTAATTACGAATATGGACGTTGAAATAAACATTTTGATTTAACGGAAACAATCATTTGATCAGGGTCATTATTCAAGTGTGCTTAAAATAGTTCTTAGTTATTAATCTAATAAGTCTTTTATAAGGCCAAGCACAAGAATCTAATTCAGAAATATTTGGGACGGTCGTACTTAAATAGCTATAACATTTGTCATAAAACCTACATGCTTTAATCGGTTTTAGTTTGATAAAAATTTGTTTTCTAAGCTTGCTCAATTAAAACCAAAATTAAAAAAAAATTTTTCTTCTATATTTCATGATTTTTTATTTTCTTACCATGGAAGCTCTGGAGCTGTAAGGATCTTGTAATCCTCGCCACAATTTTGGTCTATAACGTTGCCAAAATTTGGCGTTGTCTGGCACCTTTTGGGAAGCAAGTCTAGTATGACGATCGTCTTTTTCAAAATGTTCTATCATTTCTAAAGTTTCTTCATAGCTGATATAGTGTACCCAGCAGCATTTCTGTATATCTTTGTCATCTATCTTCCAGAAATCTAGTTCACTTTTCCACAACGGTCCACAAACATGCAAAGGTACATGGAGTTTACCTGTACGATGAAAATTCAAAATATAAGGAAATAAATCTGGATGTCTGTCAAAATAAAATTCTCTCTTTCCTGAAGCTCGGGCTTTTTCTGCAAGTCGAGCGAGGCGAGTCGTGTGTATTTTTGACAGCGTTTTCAATCTCGTTTTGTGTTTTGTTCCTCCAACATCTATTATAACACAATCATCATCGTCGTGTTCTTCATCTTCATCGTTTTCATCTTCTTTTGAAGACATTTCATTATCAGAAACGTTTGAATTTTCATCCATTGTAATGTTTACAAATTTCTTTTGGGAATTTCCACCCTGTCCCTCAACTAACTTTCGCAACATTGTCAAGTTGCTTTTAAAAATTACATAATTTAATTTTAAAATATTAAGAAGGTTAATCCATTATAAAGTCCTCAAAATCGCTTTAAGAAATCACCCTTGATTTAAATCCGTTTCACATTTTTCCAGTTCATATTTATTCCTTCTAGTTTATACCTTACCACTCTGCTAGTGGTTTCAATATGTCGATAAACGTACAGAATGTTGATTAATTTTGTAACCTGGCGTGTTACGCTAATGCTGAGTGTAAGAATAAAAGCCAAGCACCTGCACACCGGAAAGATGCTATATTCTACCTGAAGTAAATAAAAAGTTGATAATCATTTATAAAATAGCATTATATTGATCACTTAATAACTACATGTAATCGATGGTAAAAATCGGATTGATTTTTCGATTAAACGTGCAAATTAACTCGCAGTTAAATGTAATAAGTTGTGTTTCATTGGACAAACCTTTCATTATTGAGGTTTAGTATTTATCAAGTTTCTATCGTTGGTGAACTATTGTGTTGATACAAATTGTACTGGGATTAATAAAATGAAAATAATAAGAAATGCAATCAAATCCTAGTGAGATAATTGTAACATAGGAGTAGCTGATGTTTGTATGTGTACTTTCTATCATTGTCTATTAGAAATAGAGAGAACGTTTGTAACATAAGTAGAGTCTGTTGAAAATGAATTGTTCATCGTTGTGAGCTGATTATAAAAAAAAGTATCTTGGGAACCTATTCTTAAGCGCCAACCTCAAAGATTTTTTATACAATTTTACACATTGCCGTGACATCAAAATGTCATTAATCTGTTGCAGAAACTTCTAACGTTGCTTTTTCAATTTTCGAAATCTCCAGTGAATTCCTTTTTATTTGAAATAAATAGTTTGTCTTCCGATAAAGGTTTTCTTTTGTAAATTGATGAAGAATTGTCTTAGTTCAATTTTTATCCGGGGATTTGATCCATCAACAAGAATGTTGCTAAAATAAAACATAGGGGTAAAAGGCACTGAGTTTTTGGCTTATATCTCGAAAACCATAGCAGTTAGAGCAAATCTATCATTGGTTAAAACCATCAGCGGATCAATGTCTACGCATAACCTCTTGTGGAATTTTTAGAAAAATCGGACAATCCATCTTGGAGTAATTGCTCCTGAAATGTCAGGGTTTTTTTTTTTGGTAAATTTCACAGTCTTTGGTTATTACCTTGATAACCATAACAGATAGAAAGAAGTTTTAACCGAAAATAATGAACATTACAATAAGATCTACAAACGTGTAATTCAGATTATGATTATGCTTAATTGGTTTATTATTTCCGAATTCCCATTGTTTTATATATGAATAACTTTGTGATAATTGTGTTTGTCTCGTTTGACTGATCGCAGTAGATCGTCAAATACCCCTTATTGGAGTGATTGTCCTTGAATGACTACTTTAATCTCTGTTCATAGAAAGATAGAAAATGGTCAATAGCAGAAATGTTAAGCACATTAAGATCTACAAATAAGTCAACATGGCCGAAATTGTCAACTGACTTCTTTTAGGAGTAACCATTTTTACTCATTTTAGGAATTTTTAGCAGAAACAAAGAGAGGAAGAGAGCAATGATATGCAGCAAAAAAGTTAAGTAAAATAAGATCTACAAATAAAGTCTGCATGGTTAAAAACGTAAATTGACCCCTTAGAGGAGTAATTGTCCCGGAAAGATGCTTTCCCCCTTTTTTGCACTTTTTGCACAAACTATTATACATTGTAGATAGAGAGAAACAGTCTGAAAGGCAAAATTGTTCAGCACAATCAGATCAATTTTTTGTTTAGAGATTTGGAGATTTCTGTAGTTAATCTTAATTTTATAGGAACTTGTTAAAAAAATGGCTCTAATCAAAATAATATGAAACGCCAAACAGATAATAGTATCCTGCAATTATCAAACAAAAGAAAAAGGTAAAACAAAGACACGAAAACTAGACATAACGACGTCCTCAATTTTTAGGAAATGATTTGCAATAAAGGAAACTGCAATTCTCAAATTACAATAAATAATTACAACATACCAATAAACACCAAACAAAAAAAAACAAAACAAAACAAAACAAATAAAAAAAATCTCTCTCAACGGTTCTCCTCGAAGTGTTTTTTCTAAACTTTCACCAGGAACATTATCGATCAAACATTAAAACAAGGAGAGAAACATCAAAACTTGTATCTGATTCATTAGTCACATTCCTCTACATGGTGTTATGAACTTGATCGTTCTAGGTACTGGAATAAAAAGCTTACTTATACAAACTGAAGGGGAAAAAACACTATCTTTAGAAGTGCCTATTTTTAAGGAAACTAGAAAACAGAGGGAGCGAGAGAATGATGATCTTTGATTTTAATTGTAAGTTACTGTAAAATAAAATAGAAATCTTTTTCCGTCAGTTGATATGTGATTGTTGGTTACAGATGCATGTTAATCAAAAGGAGTTCAATATCTTCCATTTTAATATTATTTACAAAATACAAAATATACTTATAAGCCATTATAATTTTGAAGAAACCTTGACCTCGGTTTTGTTTTTATAGTTTGTTTCTGAAAACATTTAAGCCTCTTGCAGATCCATTTTATGTCGTGGCGGTGTCATGTCCTGGGATATCAAAATTATGAATGAAATATTTTTCAAGTCATGTTTTAGTCAAGGTGCGAAAGTTTATTGACTACTGTACGCAAATTTTCATAATTTATCACATATTACCAAGTTACTTAATGTGCTAATGGCGCATTATTGATTAGATTATTTCGAATATCCCATCACGTCAGTGTTCACTTTAATATTAACAGCTGATAATACTATAATAATTACAGTCCGTTTACATTCAAGTAACAAATCTATTAGCCGCCTTGTCTTGGAGGACCGTCCCTTGGTGTCTCTTGCAGTTAAGTTACACGTGCCACTGATGAGATGATTAAAACTGTATATTTTCATCTTGACAACATCTATATAAAAATAAGGAGATGTGGTATCAAATATCCACCAAAGTTCAAATGAAGTGGATGTAAGCAATTATAGTCAACAACAACCTTCAACAACGAGAAAAATCCATACCGTATAGTCGGCTATAAAAGCCCCCGACAAGAAAAATATGAACTATGTACGTTTCGGCAATAAATTTCATCTACAGGTTGTGTGTATTCCTAAAGGCACCAAATGTCACCCCTTTAATAGCAGACTTATTTCTGCACTGTTATATATCACAGTTTATGTTCAAACTCATTAAATTACTGAGCCAAAGATTTCTTTACCACAAATTTCTTAAAATCTTTACTAATATCTTTCATAGAAACACATATTTGGTTTCACAGTTTGGCTGTACCTGTTGAAAACTTATTACAAACGGGATAGCACATCCTTATATATACGGTCATGTTGTTTATCGAGTCCGTAAATTTGTGTACGATCCGGGTATTCTTATTGATCCTTTAAATTAACTTATTCTAAAAATAAAATATCGAATTAACACTTTATGAGATTTTTTATTACTGTTTTAACGGTATAATACGATTTTGTAATCAATGAAATAAAACCCAACTGAATATTATTGTTATACACCTATTAAAATTCCGGTTCAACAATCTGTCGATACCTATATTTTGACATTGCACAAGATCATGTTTTTCTTTGTTAATAACGTATATATACTTAATTTATTGAATGGTGGATGTGAACCGTTTGATATTTTAATCTTGAAAAGAAGATTTTTTTACTAGTTGTTATTGGCTTTGAACTAACTTCCAGCAACTGCAAGTACTCTCAGATCTATACTTTGTGTCTTTTGTGTTTTTGTTGCTTGTTTTTGTGCGCAGTATCTCTAATGAGTTATGCTCTTTACAACTGACTTTGATAATTTGTTCTTATGTTATGGTGTCACACCACTGTCCCAGATTAAGGAAGAGGTTAGGCTGCACAAACTTGTTTAACCCCACCACATTTTGTATGTGGCTGTCCCAAGTCAGAGGTTATCGTTTGTTGTTGTATATCATAATAATTTTCCATTGTTTGTTTTTTACATAAATCAGACGGTTAGTTTTCTCGTGTGTCATTTCGAGTTTTTTTTTATAGCTTTCTATGCGGTATTAGTTTTTCTCTTTTTTGAAGGCCGTAAGGTGACCTAAAGATGCTAACTTCTACGTCAGTTGGTCTCTGGTGAAGAGTTATCCCTTTGACAATTATACCACATCTTCTTATCTTGTATATATAATTTCAAATACCCATATCGTGTTTGGCATTCGAAAGAAAATGTTAATTCCAATTGTACAAAAGTGCAGTAAAATAAAGTGATGACTTTTTGGTAAGTTGATATGAGATTTAATATTGTTTTAAAGGTGCTCAATATTTTCCATTTGATTAATTACTACAAAATACAAAATATACTTAACCACATTCTGTATGTGCCTGTCCCAAGTCAGGAGCCTGTAATTCAGGGATTGTCGTTTGTTGCTGTATACCATATTTGTATTTTGTTCATTTTTTTTACATAAATCAGGCCGTTAGTTTTCTCGTTTGATTTGTTTTACATTTGTCATTTCGAGGCCTTTTATAGCTGCCTATGCGGTATGGGTTTTGATAATTGTCATTTGGTCTCTGGTAGATAATTGTCTCATTGGTAATTATGCCACATCATTTTATTTTCATGTTATAAGCCATAATAAGTTTGGAGAAATCTTGATCGCGTTTTTTAATGTTTGTTCTGATAACATTTCAGTCTCTTTCATATTCCTTTTATGTCGTTGCTGTGCCATCTTCTGAGATAACAAAATTACGAATGAAATTTTTTTTCATGTTTTAGCTTAGGTGCGAAGGTTTATTGACTATTCTAATAAAGACGCAAATTTTCATAGATTATCACATATTACCAATTGCTATTAGCGCATACTTAATATGATAAATCAGAACATATCATGACTTTAGAGTTAACTTAAATGAACGAGTCAGCTAAATATAGATTCTACTCGGCTGTGTATTTTTTTATGTGTTGGATTAAGTTGTTTTATGTAATGTATCCGTTTTTATTCTGTAGTTAGTCCCCACTTTGGTTTTATCATGTATATCTATTATATAGTCATTTTATAAAATTTACTGTTTGCAAAATTATAAATTATTCTAAATAATAAGGATGTTCTTGTCCCAGGCAGAAAACCCTGGCCGTGTTAGGCGCAACTTTTTGGAAGTTTTGGTCCTCGGTGCTCTTCAGCTTTGTACTTATTTTGGCTTTCAAACTTTTTTCATATGAGCGTCTCTGAT